AAACCAGTAGGCCTAGCTGGATGCAGTTACTCTACAGTTTGTGGTTGGGCTATTTTCTGATTATCATCTCCATTAGCTTTCTAGGTGTAGATGTTTTGACGAAGTGTATTTAATTTTTCTTTTTTTCATTTATGTTTACACATGTTGCACTAATACAGACAGGCATTTAATGCAGATGCCAAATGCTCATATTACTGTCTGTCTAACAAATGTTAACTGGTCCATCAGGGGTTAAACGACTCTCAGCTTGATTTGTATGTTACAACATGGGCAAACTCAAATACACCTTGTAGTAAAATGAAATATTGTTTTGTTTTTACACCTATATAAACTGTCCTTTGCTCCTATCACAGTCTTTTCAATAAAAGTTATAATACAGTCACAATGATATTCAGCTGAAACCTAGAAACCAACAATGTTCACCGGTAAGAGGTGAGCTAAGGCTAAACAGGACACCTCTGTTAGAGAACAGAGACAAACAGCAGCAGCCTGAAAGAGAAATAATCCTTTGAAGTGAAGATATGACATTGGCGATTTAGATGTTGCCAAGGGGTTTTTGATAAGTCTTAATAGTTTGTGACTGTGTCCTTTCATGGATCATTTCAGTGTGGTAAGCCAGGCTGACAGGAAGTCCTCCAGTTGCTCTGTGTTTGCTGTAGGTATTTGAGTCAGTTCCTCGTGTAATCCAATCAGCCTGTTGCTGTAATCAAATACTGTATGTCTGCAGGAGTGGAGACTGGAGCAGCTAGTACTACTGAGTGATGTGCTCAGCTGGAGGATGCGTCTCTACAAGCAAAATTACTTAAAGAGATAGAAGAGCTGACAGTAGACAGTCATATATACTGGTGGCCATTGACACTGGTCTTAACTGCCTCACAAGAGTGACGATCCCTTAAATGTGATTCAAATCAGTGTTCAGTTTCTTTGAACCTGTGAGTCACATTTGCTGATTCATCTACAAACGATCTCCTGGCAGTCGGGAGATATTTGTGCCTCTCATCAAACTACTCCGTTCATATGTTGCTGATTTTGACAACATCCTCACAGTGTGCAGACACAGCAGAGAAAGGGGAAACATTACACTGCCTGCTTATAGCATTATTAGTTTGGCTGTCTAAATAATAGAGGAAAATGCAACATTTAACAATATATATAAACAAATAACAAATACTTTAACTATTATTATTCATACTGCAAGTGAATGAAATGTAAGAAAATGTAAGACAATAAGGACCTTTTATGCGTTTTTAAATGCATTTGTCAACGTCTTATGTGAATCATCTGTAACAAATAACGAATGATATAGTATAGTAGTATAGTAGTATAGTATAGTATAGTAGCATATAGTAATATGATCAGTTGTAGAAGTAGTAATAAGAAAAATAAAAATCCTACTCAAGTTTTAGAAGAATGGCCCTTGTGAGCACTATATTTTCATAATATAGATTATTAATACTGATGCTTGATTGTTTAAGCAGCATTTTACTGCTGTAGCTGGTTAAGGTAGACATGCTTTTAATCATTTTATATACCACTCATGGTCACGAGACCAATCTGGATGGTTGAGAGATTAATCCATGGAGTCAGAAAGAAGAAAATTCATAGTTCATGTTCATTTTATGATCTTAACTTATGTTATAGCTGTAAATTTTTAATCTGAAAAGTAACTAGCAACTGCAGCAGTGTGAATTTAGTGGGGTGAAAGTATATTTCCCTGTGAAATGTTGCGTAGAGAGTAGAAGTATAATGCTGCATAAAATATTATACTGGGTAAATACTATACTAATAAAGGCCAGCTAAATGGTAAGTAGACATTTATAAATAGTTTTAAACCCACCTGTGAATGAATACTGTGTTTTTATTAATTGTTTATACACTAGTTCATGTTTTTAATATTAATTATTGACAAATGCACTAATTAACACTTAATATTTCCTTATATCAGGTTATAACTACATTATAGTGTTTTAACTATTTATTGAATGTTAATATAATGTATGTAAAAGTGAAATAACGGAGTTTAAGTGAAGTAAAAACAGACATTTCTCTGTACATTTCTGTACTTTCATTTTTCAAAAATTCTTTTTAAAGTAATGAAAAATTCTCACAGACTCCATTGCACAGGTTCACTTAGGGCAGCCAGACAATATAGTTTCAATTACAGTCTAATCCACCCTGATTCTAAAACCAGTTTCCGCTCTCAGTCTTTCCTAGTCAGGGCGGGGTTTTCCTACCAGGGATCTTCCATTCACAAATTCACTTCTCCAACCTTTAAGCTGTCTACACCCATCAAAACAATAACATGAGACTGTCTCACCTATCTGATTTTGCTGTGGAAAGATTGATATAATATCAAGAAGATGCTAAGATTGGTTTCCTTGACTTGTTCTGTCTTGATTAGATTTCATATCCCCCAGACCAAGGAGGGCAAGATTAAAGGCACATTTCCCGCCATTTTCAACATGAATGCTCACTTCCCAAGACAATGACTGATTGTGACAACAAACTCTTTACATCGTTCCTTGCCTAAATGAGTGGTTATATTCCCATAAGAAACACATCAACTGATAACAATACACATTTTCTCAGTTTATCTATGACGATAATTCACCACAGCAGAACATGCAGATGATGTGTATTAAAACTGCTCCAGAAAGACATATTTTTGTCTGCAGCTTTCATCTACATCTTTTATTACAGCAGGTAACCAGCGAAGAAGACTTTGTTTTGGGAGCTTTTGGGGTTTGTTTTTTGAGAGACTATTTGACCTAATTGACCTACAGAACCAAATGTCCACACACAAAAAAAGAATATATTTACTGATGTTTGTTTTCATAACAACATTAAATTACATTCTCCTGTGTGGGCTGAGAGACATTTTGGCAGACAGAAATCTTGGGTTTAATCTAACAATTTTCAAACTCCAGTGAGATCAGTCTTCATCAAGTTAGAGAAGATGAGACTTTGGAGATGCACGAGTCAACGGCAGAAAACATCTAGGTCTAAATATCTGTTATGGCTCAAGGAAAGGAAGTGCAGCTGTTGCATCATGTTACTTTTTTTTCCACCATCCACCTCCTTCTGGCAGCTGTGGGAAACCAACAAAGAATAGAGCCGCTGCAATTAAGGCTGTATTTGCCTCTCAACAACCCACTCTGCATGATGGAAGACTGACCCTCCACGGCTTCTCATCCTCCAACACTGCAGAGTGGGTGGGAAGCTTCCCAGTTTATTCTCAGTGCTCCTTCCATCACACAGCACAGAGGAAACAGCACTCTTAAAAGTAAGAATTATACATTTATTTGGCACTAAGATAAAATCCTGAAAATTAAAAACATGAAAGGGGAGAACAGTTCATTCTACTAAAATGTCACTGTGACAGACTTGTTGTTGCCAGGATAACTCGCACACCCACTCGTTAGCTCTTTAGCTGACAGGTCATAAATTAAATGGTAATTGAATTAAACTAGATCTAGATAGCATTAAGCTTGGATAGACATCCCACCAACGCATAGACACAATGATACTACTTTGTACATTTTACAGTTTTACAGGAATTTCTACTTATCAGTAGAACCTTTGATTAAGCGTTTGAAAGAGAGTTGAAGAGAGTGAAAACAACCTGTTATACTATTGATAATTTTACAGTAAATATCCCGGCCTGTTACTAAGTTGTAAAACTTTATCTATTTTTAAATTTAAAAAAAAACAAAAAACTGTCAGCTGATATAAATTAAATTTAGTATCATGTTACACAAACAGTTAGCCCACCCTGATTTCTGACAATATTTACCAAAGCTATTCTAGGTTCTGAGTTAAGTTTCTGTGGTTGTGCGTGTGCTTGTGTGCATGTGATCTCTCTTCCAGTGTTCAAGGTTACTGGGCAGTGAAATCACGTGGGACTGCCAAGTCTTGTGTGTACATTTGCAAAGACGTGCCTGTATGGTTGCATAAGAGTGAAAGAATACACCTCTGACCCCAACCAGATCCCGTCCCACCTAATCACAGCCATAAATTACAGTCCATTCCTCTCTGTTTGTCAAACAGCTTGCTCCCACTTTCCCTCCGCGCTGCGCTGATTTGTTATAACTCCATAACAAATGCATTCAGTAGATGTTTACTGTAAAATGATCCCTGTACTTAGTGTCTGCCTGCCATGAAGGAAAAAGAAAACGGTTGGCTTTGTGAAATATATTTTATTGTGGTAATCAACAGGAGATTTGCTTTTATTTGTCTTTCAATTTATAAAGTGTTGTCTCACACAACAAACTAAATCCTGCATGGAGAAAGTGTGGTGCAACTTAGAGTCAAGATTGCTTCAAATGCATTTAGTGGAAGACAGCAAGAAGAGGTCAAAGTCATTCAGTTCAGTAGATGTTGTTTCAGTCAGTCAAGCCAGGAGAGTATTTCCACTTTCTTGCTTTGCTCGAGGAACATATGATATTAACACTATATAACTGTTATTTACAATAATAGAGTTCTTCCTTCGCACTATACATGCAGGACGTCCTTGGCCCTGCTCTTGGTGCAAAGGGCAGTGGAACCATCATTTGTTTTCTGGAACAAGCCTATTCTGATATTTTCAGCACAACTCAGCAAGATATAAATACAAATGTGTTGAGATTTGCTGAAATGGCAGTCAGGTGTATAAGTTAACCCACATGGAGCTTTTATTGGAGGGGAAACTAATTCATCTCACCCGGGACAAGTGAAACAGTGGTATACAGTTTGACCTTATATTGTCGTTACTTGTCCTATGAATAATAATAGAAAGAAAGAAAGAAAGAAAGAAAGAAAGAAAGAAAGAAAGAAAGAAAGAAAGAAAGAACAAACGAAAGAAAACAATGCCAATGCAAGGACATAGAAAAACAACATAAACTGGTAAAAATAACATCAATGGACTCAATACTAGAACCAAATTAATATGATAACTATATAATAATAATAATAATAATAATAATAATAATGATAATAAAGTGCATCTATCCCAGGTTTGTTATTTGTTGCCATGTGTGTGATCCGCCACAACATGAGCAGGTCAGAGTGAAACTAGGACACTCACGGTCCTCCCTCGAAGCTGTGTATGTCTGTATGAAACACATGATTACAATTAAGCAAATTTTGCTGAATGCCTGCTGTGCTTTTTCACATTGATTCACTTTAACAATATACCAACAAATTTTCTCAAGGTCAGGATATTCATTATTTTTTTTATCATTGTGACATACTTACTCTTCAAACTCACTTCTTGCTTCTTCAAATACATTTTTCATAATCTATTACATGTTTTACTTTGAGATACCATGAGATGAAGTGTATTATCTGATATATCTATGATGACATTATCATGACACTACGGCATCTAAATCTGAGTTAGAGCTTCTTAAAACCTCTTGATCTTATGTTCACAGAAATACCTAGTTTGCACAAGTGATTACCGACCATATAAATGTACCAAAACATATGTCCCATGTTCATCTAAAACATTAAAGAGTCATTAATGTGTTGGCTTTATATCAACTTTCAAAAGATACGGTATACAGTATATCCTCAGTACTGTATTTGGTGTTGTGTGTCAGGACTTCCCATTAGATTTTCTGGATTTGGCCTTTTAATTCAATATAGGGCATTGATGTGATATGATATTACTCCACTTTGTCTCCCATGTGACACGGTTTCACTGCAGACGACTTTAATTAGACTCTTTTACTGCCTTTTGGGGCCCTCCGAAATTATGAGTCAAGTCTTTGATTACCAATATGTGACAGTTTAGAGTAAAACTATCCTGTTCTTGGTGTGTTTTTATGTCCTGAGATTACAGACAGGGCTGAACTTTGAGGTGTTATTTGTCTTTGGTTATTTCATTTTGTATGTTTTGACTCACACAGGCCAGGATCATGGCTTTTTGACCTGCTGCACAACATTAGTGTACAGTTATGATTTTCTGTTTAGAACACATACTGCATCTGAGATGAACTGAAATTAATTTCAGTTGATCATTCGCTAATCGCTTTGACTGACCAGTAATTGTGCAATCAGTGGTAGCAATTAGCAGGCCTCTCAAGCTTTGGATTTCTTCAACTGTTACTCTGAAAAAGAAAAATACAAGCGCAAGAGTGTAAGGAATGGATTAACCAGTGTGTTTGTCATCTCAAAAATAAGCTGCAAACATTAGCATGTCCGACTTGCTAGCTTTACCTACAGTGATGACCTAGCCCAGCGTCACTTCCAAAGCCAGCAGCATTAACAAAAAATTAAAACAGCCATATTCACAACTAACGTCAGTAGGCCAATTTCTTTGCTCTGTGGAAGCCAGTCCTGGATGCTACCATGTCAGACTGAAGGCTAATATGGCCCTGTCCTGCCCTTTATTGGATTTGGGTTAGTTTACACTGCAGCAACCCCACCCAACATTACCTGAGATAGTTAACACTAATCCTGCTGTTAAAAGCCTTTTCTCTTTTAATGTTAAAAGTGAAAAATACAGTACTATTTGAAAATATGAAAAAATAAAGCATGAATCTAGCCTCTGTCTTGCATGTTGTCTGTAAGCTAAGCAAAACAAAGCTACGCTAAACAGGGTAATGTTAATCATATTTTACATTTTTTCCTTATCTTAGTTATAATATTAGGATTAACAATCTCTACATTGCAATAACACTGCTGTTTCTTTATTTCCATATTCGATCATCAACTGGTGAGGATGCTAACTTTTTGCCTGGGACCTTTTAGCTTCAGTCCTTTTAGCTTAGACCTCAGTCTTTTAGCACAATATCACATATGTGGCCACAAGTGGATGTTGAAGACCCATTTTCTACTTTTAACATGAGTCAGCTTCAAACTTTAAAAGTCAGCAGTAGATGGCCTTTTCAACCGACTTATGAAGCTAAGAATTATTACTACCATACCAAACAAATCGAGGTTTGTGGGCTAGAAATGATTAGCAACTACTTTTCACTACCACAGTCTGAAATCAAGGATCGCTTATTTGGAAATTAGCAAAAACCTCAAGTGATAAATCTGCATCTGTTATCATAGTAAACTGCATTATTTGCTAAGCAACGGAAAGTATGACAGACATAGTAACAAACAGATAAGCCTGGGCTTTGCGAAAGGATAAATTCGATCTGCTTTCTCTCCAGTCATGAAGTCTTTAGTTAAATATAAGAAAGAAATTACGAACTCAACATCTGCTCAGGTCAAATGTTTCCCAATGAGGACAATGTAAAAACAGTGATTGATATTTTTCCTTGCTAGTATGCATAAATGTTTTCCTGTTTTATGATGGATGTTTATTATTCTACCCTTTCATGTGTCACCCATAGTTACATGTAATCCATACTGTACACGTACCATCAGCTGCATGTATGCCAACTAACCAAGTCATCCACTGATATTGTATAACGTAGGAGATTCTTATTGTTGATATGAGTTATATCATAAGATCAAAGGTCTTAGATCAAGGTCTGTTTCTACCAGGCGAGTCCGTAGAAATATTCCTACGGTTTAGTTTTCTAATTGTCATCTGCAAAGTGTCAATTTCACTCAACACTCAGTTGTAGACTGTATGTTTCAGGACTGTGAACAGCACATACAGACAGTCCCATCAAAATTATCAAACATTTCTCAAAATATTCATACAAAACTATGCTATTGTCATGCAGTTTATTTCTAGGATGTGAAAATTGAAATGTGACAGTTTTTGTTTGCATTGGATAAAGCTCAGTAACCATTTTAGGGAAGCAAAAAAGTTCATCCAGAGAGAAACGTGACGAGTTTCAATCTTGCTTGTATGATAGAGATCGGTACTGCTGGTCCTCCACCTGCAGCAGTAATGTCTTCAGTGGTGTCCTCATGTCAGTAGAGTGACAGTCATAGGGTTCTTCACATGACACCTGCATTGCTCTGCATTCAAACACAAGCAAAAGAAGCAACAGCCAAAGGTTAAATCTCTGATTCTCTACAGGAGGACATTTGCTCACCTCTAGGAGTGGTTGGCTCATTCACCAGCTCTGATGACCACTTCCTGTCTTCCTCTTTCTCTACATCTCCCTCATCCTCCTCATCCCTGCTGATGAAGGCTAGCTCATTCTCATAGCAGAAGGAGTTGGCACCGGAAGCTGGGAATTTTCTCTCCTCCATTTCCTTGGCACTGCATCTAGGGGTGGATGGTACTTCAAATGTTTTGTGAAAGTAGGCATAATCTATCCTGTACTGACTCTTCTCCTCGAAGATAACAGGCTCAAAACGGTGACCCCACAAGATCTCCGTGGACAGGTAAGAGCTCCGTGCCTGTGTCGTCATGGCTGTGGCCTCCACCAGCCCTTCAAGTATAATTACTATCTCAAAGTCAGATGTTTCCAGATCTTGCTTACTGATGCCAAAAAGTGGACTTTCTTCATCAATCTCATGTATGACAGTAAGGGGAGCAACCAGGAACAGGCGGTCTGTGCCTTTGTCATAACCCACGTTCATGTCAATCTGATCCAGGGGGATATACTCGCCTTCCTCCGTGTAACGGTGCTTGACGAGCTGGGCACGCACATGAGCTTCCACAATATGGCTCTTCCTTAGATTAGCAACTCGAAACATGAGGCACAGCTTCCCATCACGCAAGGCGATGACTGCGTTGTGGCTGAACAGTAGAGTCTGTGCACGCTTTTTGGGCCTCGCCATCTTTGCCATGATAGCACCAATCATAAAGGCATCGATGATGCAGCCCATGATGGATTGAAAGACCACCATGAAGACGGCAGCCGGGCATTCCTCTGTCACACAGCGGGCACCGTACCCAATGGTTGTCTGGGTCTCTATGGAGAACAGGAAAGCTGCCACAAAGGTGTTGACCTGAGTGACACAAGGAACAAAACTGTCGTCCTCTCCGGAATGGTCCATGTCACCGTGTAGGAGGCCAATGACCCAGAATGCCAAGCCAAATGTTAACCAGGACACCACAAACACCAGGCTGAACAGTAGGAACATGTATCGCCAGCGGATGTCCACACAAGTTGTGAAAATGTCAGATATGTACCGCTGTGACTTCTCATCCATGTTTGAGAAATGGATGTTGCATTGGCCAGTCTTGGTGACAAACCGCCCACGGTATTTGCGTCTTGTGTGAATCTTGCCATTGCCAAAGCTACCCACAGCAGGCATGGTACTTAGTCTCAGGCCTTCTTCTTCACAGGATATGAAGCTGTGGTGGTGGGCCCTTCCCACACTCATGCCTCAGTGGGGCACAGCCACGTAGCTTCACACTTTCAGCCCAGCTCATACAAAATTGACCTGGCTCACAGGAAGTCCACCGCTCCGTCCAACACAGACTAAGTGTCAACTGGAACTGAGAGGTGAGGCACAACCGTTGTTATCTATAGAGGAAGCACAAGTGAAATATTAATACATGATATTGTGAATCATCTATCAACACTACAGTTTTTGAAAAGTAGATGAACATAAAAAGTAAAGTGGATAAATACAATGTCCTCTGTTTCAGCATAAGATAATCACACAATGATAATCAGTCATAATTTTATTTAACACCTTCCCTATAATTCATTAACAGTGTGTATCAGTGTCTGGAGTGGATGGTAAATTCTCATTATCATTATGCAACATCATGTTCACTTGTCAAATCCAATGAAAATGATTGACACTTCCACTTAAATTTTCCCTTATGTAACTTCAGCATGAGATCAAATCATTTTTCTCTCTTCTGTATTTTCCGGTTTACTCACAGATTTTTGATGTTTATGATGCAGCTGCTTAAAAATATCTTCTCTAATCTCTGCTAGTTTTAGACCCTTGTTGGTTTACAAAGCTTGCCGAGCCAAAGCGTGTTTTGTTTTCACTGAATTGTTTTTCACTGTTGGTTTAGTAATGAATCTGTTGATTGCTTTTCCTCTCAATATGTCAATGATGAATATAATTTACAATAATCTGCTGTTTAGATTTATTTATACTGCACATATTAAGACAAACATGGAAGTTGTAAAATGATACTGTACTATAATTATACAGAGTTTCTATTTTGAAACCTCGGTGATACTAGTGACACTGCATTTCATTTCAAATGCACCATTTCATAGCACATTTTGATTTTCTGTCTTGCCTCTCTTTCTTCCCTGCCTCTACCGGCAACACTGGTATATAAGATATATATTTCTCTGATCAACAAGGTACAGAAATAGCCAGCTAATCCAATGCCCTGCCATTTTATGTGACGTATCTTCTGTTTCTTCCAGCTGGCACAACTATTAGAGTCACTGGAGTACAGTGATGAGGCTGTGTGATTCCCCTGTGACTGAATTGGAAAATAATACGGGCAGAAAAAGACGGGGCACAACACTGGTTATCAGCCACAGATACAAATGGTTTGATGGGAGCAATCGATGGGATCACTTCAGGCACATTCATGGAAAAAATGTTTTGAAAAAGAGGAAACCGTATCCTGATCTGTCCCAAATGCTGCCTCCAGCACACCCAGCATAGAGAGCTGTTATTTCTACCTCATGTTGAGTTAGATATAAAAGTCATTACAATGTCTTCCATATAATTTCCCCCTAATTGGTTGACAACCACTTTGTTTCTATAAATGCCTATGAAGCCTGTATTGATAGTGCAAGCAGCAGTATTATGTGTAATAAGCAAGAGCTTTAAAAAATTCTAGCAAGAACAGGTATGATATTAAATTTTGCATAATTAATGTGTAAACTCCCTAAAGTGACATTACACCTAAAAAAGTCTTGAAAATTAATCTACAATTTGAGGAATCACCAAAGTTATTGCAATTCATCCTGAGCGCAGCACACAGAACTGAATTTCATGACAATCCATCCAATAGCTGTTAAGATGTTTTATTTAAAGTCTAGGGATCAACAAAATCTTTCAGATCATTAGGACCATGCATATCGGTAACAAATGTCAAAAAAATATACTGGATCTAATAGTTGTCCATACATTTCACGAAGACCCAAAAATGTCAGCCTGCTGGTGGTGAAGTGAGAGGATCACCAAAGTCTGTAGAATAAATCCTGCGGACGGAAAAATTTCATGGCAATCCGTTCTGTAGCTATTGAGATATTACAGTCTGGACCACAGATATCACAGTCTGGTGGATGAACGACTGACAGGCCAGCATTGCCATACACAGAGCCACACCACAAGCGTAGCTAGCAATACAATGCCATAGACCTGTATTAGTGCCAAAGTTAGCACGTAAAAGATACTGCAGAAGAAGTTGTTCCTGTGTCTTCTGAACTGACTGAAATGTCTGTCATATCATAGGTTATAAGAAAGGTTGAGGTTCAACTGTGCAGAATTATTATCTAAATTATTATAGGACTAATTTCCTGACACTGGCTGCAGTTTTCTCTGAATGGAACTTCACTCATTTCAAGTCATAAAATAGACCCTGCCCCACCATCACACTGTGGACTCAGGGGACCGAGAGGGAACCACTTCAGCTGCAGGTCAGCAGAAGGTGACATGTTGGTCAGCAACTGGCTGTAAGTGGGCTCTTTACTTGTAGATAATTGGTACAGAGATTGATTTTGATTATACTGTTATTCTGTTCAGATATCTGAGAACACTGTAGGATGACAACATTGGTCGGCTACACTCATCTCAGAAAACATACTGTAAATAATGTATATCAGGGCTTTAAGAGTGTAGAGGTGTAAATCAACTGGGATTTCATCTTTAATAAAACCTCCAAATGGGGTCAGAAAGGCTGCTGCTGTGCAGGTGTCCCCACCATGGATACTCTATAGCTATGAATAGACAGACATTAATACCTTGTATATACAGCCTATATACAGGGCATACTATCTGCATATACAAATAGTATATGAGGAATTTACACTTTCTGTGCAGATTCAACATGCATGGCATGTCATATTCATTGTTTCCAACCCAAAAGCCTGAATTGTAAGAGTTTAGAATACCGACTGTAGGATGACAATAATTGAAAACAACAGATTTTGAGATTTTTTTGTGTATGGACATGTGTGTTTGTTTTTTTTTATGCAGAAGTTGCTGTTTCTAAATGCTCTAGTTGCTAGGAAGCAGTATGTTGTGTGTCCATAAGATATTCATATCTAATATTCTGTGCGACTGCTCCTCAGCCCTCTCAGGAGCCACACTCTGCCTGCCAAGCTGGGATCTTAACGCCGGAGCAGGGATGAGTCTTTTTCTCTGCTGATGTTTGTCACTGCTCTCACTGAAGATATATTTGAGCTGAACAATAAGAGACAGTTCAATAGTCACTGTCTATGGAAGTTAAGTCTAAGTCTACGGTGTTGACTACAGTAATATATGGATAGTCTGTCTCTCTAAAATGACAAGCAGCTTACCTTGTGTGCAAGTGCTTCCGATAAATGTTGATTTCCAGCGTTCCTTTTCTTCCAGATCTTCCCAGTCCACTAGCCAAACCACTGCATGTTTCTCCTCAGGCTTCCTTTAACGCTTCTCATCTGTTATGGGTAGAACCACTCTATCCTCCTGAGGCACAAAAGTAAATGGTCACAGAGTACCTTCATGTCGGTGTCTCCTAGTTTTAACACGTCTCTTTCTCCACTCAGCGAGGAGAGCATTACATTCACTCCAACTGTCAAGTCCTTCAGAGTTACAGCTCGATTGATATCCAGTTGATCAGAAACAGACCAGAAATTAGAAAATGACTTCAGTGAATCACCGAAGTCATAATTTTGACCCTCGAAATAGCACAATGACTTGATCACAGCTATCCCAAATGAACTGTATAGAGGGTTCACATGGCCTGTAGGGTCCAATCCAATCAAAAAATCAATTCCTCACAGCTCATTTTAGAGTCATGGGCAGTCAACAGTCTCTCTTCTTCCATGTCTCACACTTTCTTAGTATATCTGCTATCTGATCTTGTTCTGCTGCAGATCCCACTCTGTTTCCCACATCTAGTGAACTATTGCTCACTGCTCAGCTCTCGTCCTCCCCCTCCCTTTCACAGTGTCACTGTAGATACTTGGCATTTGGAGACTATGTGCTCTTCCCCTACCAAGTGTTGCACCAGCGCTGGTCAGCAATGCTCAGAGTTGAAAGAACCAACTGGTTTATTCAAGACTGATGTGATAGTGGACGGACCAGAACATAAACAGTGACCAGAACGTATTTGTTAAATAGATTTCTCTGGGTTTGACTATGGGTTCAGTCTTATAAAGCAATTCTTAGTCTGTATTATTTTTAAAAAATAGGCAAGACATCTACTGGATGCGTAGACCAATACTTTAAACTTCTAATTTCTATTCCTATGTTGTCTGTAATGTTGTCTTTATTTTCTGACCAAAACCAAACAGATCACAGAGTGGGTGGTATGGTCTCCATTTTGACTCATTCAGAAAGCGAAGCAGCTTCTGTTGAACACACTGGATAATGAAAAGCCCATGTAGGCAGTTTCTTGTAGAACATCACTCATTTGTCTGATGTGTGTGTGAGCATGCCTGGATGAAGGAGGAAATCAATGAATTTCTTGTGTATCACAGGGCCAAAGAGCGGCTTGATTAATAATAAAAACAAGGGTCTAGAGCCATGCTAACAGCCCTGTGAGACTATGCGTAGGTGCAGGTTTGCCTTTGTGATGTCATTAGTTTTGTAGGTATTTGGTCATAAACTGGGAATCATTATTGTCTGTGCCAAATTTTGTGCCAATCCACCTAGATGTTGAGATATTTCACAGAATAAGTGGAATATATTGACTGTTGGTGGTGCTGGATGAAAAAAGTCAGGGGCTCACCAAAGATTAATTATCTGGATACCATGAATATCTGTACCAAATTACATGGCAATCCATCTGGTAGATGTTGAGATATTTCATTCAAAAACAAAAACGTCAGCCTCATGGTGGTGCTTGAGGAACAGTCAGAGGATTACTAACATCACTAAGATTCATCCTCTGGAGAACATAAATGTCTGTGCGACATCTGTGCCACTATCATAGTTGAGAAAAAGTGTAATTCCTAAAGTGAGAGATATTTAATTTATATTTAATTAACCAAAGCTTTGGACAGACTGACATTACCACTCACTATTTCTATGTTATTGTAGAAGTCAATTTATTCCCAAAAACACATCTTTAAAAGAAAAAAAAAACAAAAAAAACACCACCACACTGCTTTGCTCAGGAGTTTGAATTTCTTTTGTGAGTTTCACAAGACAGCACTGTCCTGACCCAGATTCACTGGAGGCCATCACAGAGCAGAAACATGGGTGGAAGGTGTGTGTGACACTGCAATATCACGGCCTCCAAGGAAGCTAAGCCATGGTAGTCTGAGTATTCGTTTTCTAATTATAATAGAAATAATATTTGACCTTTGCAAGTGTTAGCACTGTTGGATCTGTAGATATACCGAGTGTACAAGAACAGAAAATGCATGTAAGACATGAAACGTACAGTGTGTTTGGTGCATACTAAAAATCCATTTACCATAAGGATTTGTGAGGATGAGACATCACACTTCAGATTACACTTTCACACTAAATGGTCATATTTGTTAGGAATGACTTTATAATAGTTTTTTTGTTTCAAAGACAAAGACGATAGTCGCTGAGTAAAATCTTTAGCTGAAAATGTATTGAATGTCACATTAGGCTGTAACTGTCATTAAACAATAAACCTTTTTATAAAACACATTTCAAACCTTAAGATGTAATGTGATTTGTGTGTGTTTATGAGTGAATGTGTGTGTGTTATAGCTTTACTGTACTGTTACTGTGATGTCAGGCCTGTAAATGGGTTATGGGTTCAGTTAGGAGATGGCAGACCAGATGGGGATGTGAAGTGTGCTATCGGGACAGAGAGAGAGCCCAGAGCCCGGCCGATACGTCGTACCCAGCGAGTTATTTAAAGGCCGCCTCACTGCGGCAGGACAAAGTGGGCCAGGCTTGACCACACTCAGGATCCAAGCTACAGCGTTCGATCATCTTTCAGACTGTCAGCACACACTCCTGATTCATTTCAAGTATTATGTCACACTATGGTCATCCCTGTGTGGTACAGGAGACACCAGTCAGAGCACAGGATGTTTACTCAAAGCTCAGTTAGACATGAGCGTAACTGGTTCTGGCAGGACACTCAGGATTAGGAGCATGGCAGGTACTCCAATTATACAACTGTGTAACCGTCTGTTTGGTCCACTCTCACCAGCACTCCTGCTGCTCATGCTCACGGTGTGTTTCTGCAGGTTTGGGTCATTGTTCTATTTTTTACAGCTACAGCACATAGCTGTAGCTGTAGCTCTATATCTCTGTGGCTCTATAGCACAGCCTACCTTAGCCTACCTTTTTATCTTCTGTTGAGTTTTTAAATTACCTCTTGTGTTATTGGCTTCAACCTGGTAGTACCATAATAATATTAAAAAATCTTTGTGCAAGCGCTTGGAACTTGGAACCAGTTTTTTCCCTTTAAGCTGGAGGGAACATTTCTCGTCTCTTATAGTATAGTATGTCCTTATATATTGTCCTCCTATAGTATGTCTTACATACTGACTCACTGATGATGTCCACATCCAACAAATCAGGGCTGATAATTACACTGTAACTAACCGTGTTTCCAGGTAGGAAATACCAGTGTAGAAAGATTTTTTTGTCATTTTAATGTGAGTGTGAAGATGTTATAATGATGTGACCTTTATGAAAACATGCGTCATCATCAAAGCATACCCCATCTATTATTACCTCCAGTAACAGGTTTTGCATTTATATTACCCTGTTGTTAGACAGATATTACTGATTATGTTATGTTATGTTATTATACTACTAACCCAGTATTACCTTAGGTCAATGTAACATAATGTAAAGGGCTACCACATTATGTTACAGTGGCCCAGTGAGTTTTTTCAACTTCTATGGATTAAATTTGTTTAGAATAACAGCAAAAAAAAAAATCTTCCATTTTTGGAATAAAATGAACTTCGCTGCCAGAACCTCAAAAAAAAAAATGGTTGCAGGCCTGTGTTACACAGCCGTGATCAAGGAAGACAGAGAACAAACACATAGGCTGCAGATACAGTAGAGAGAGTCTATGTTGGCAGCCAACACCGATAAAAACAACCTGTGAGTGGGGAAGAGAGGCGTTGTGCACCCACCCGACAAAAAGAAATGCTGCACATACACAAGACACAGGGATTTTTTTTTTAGGGAGCTGTTCACCAACCACCCTGCTCCAGTTAGGGAATATGCTCCAGAGCAGCCTCATCAACATCCTGCCTCATGGTGATAAAGTGCTCTCACCTTGTGAAATAACACAGGGAGGCCATGTTAGCTCCACACATTAAATACTGGAGGTTGAATCCAGGTCCCTCTTACTGTCAGGCGATTAATAAACGTTAATGAAACTTTTATGTTTTCCACAAGAAAAACAAGAAATTTGTGTTTTTCTTGTTACGTTTTTTTCTTTTTCCATCACAAATAATGTTTAGCTCTCTATAATAATCCAGAGAAAAAGTTTAACAACATGATCTGATCCTTGTGAAAAGTCTCAGTCTGTCTATACAAGGTTTTCAGTTGTTAACAGATCTGCGTCCAGCTGACTGTAGAAAAAAAGAGAAAAAAAATCATAAACAGAAACTTTAAAAAGCAGTTACAAGATATCTAATATCTTCAGTGTTATTAAGTTGTATCAGCAGTTTGTTGTTGTTCCCATTAAGTGATTTATATAGAATGATTGGTTATGGCTTTTCAAGATGACAATATCAAATAGGAATATGCTTCACATCTTCATATCTGTCCTTGCACTAACCGCTTTCCTGGTTGCTGACACATTTTACTTTCAGCTCATACAGGGGCTGACTGTGTTAAAGTGCTTCCCCAAATGCCTCATCTTCATCATCATCTTCATCATCCTCCATGCCGAGGCTGTTGTTGCCAAATTGATGTTGGTGCCAAATTTATATTTGTCTCAGATGAACAACACAGGATTCATCCATTGTCATGGAAACACTGACAAATATGAGTTGGAGCGAACAAGTTGCATGTAGGTCACACGCCTCTGGACCTGATTTTGTAACATTGTGATCCAAATCAAACTAAAAGAAAAAAAAAAAGTCGTCCTCAGCTCCTTGCTGGTGACAGTGATTTGAAAACTGAAACCCAGACCTGTGTTGTGGTCCTGCCAGAGTTGTGGTTCTGTCGGCTGCAGTGTAAACATGTCTGAAGTGGATCATCGGGGAAGCGGGCTGCGCTCGCTGATCAGAGCTGCTCCACTGCTGGTTGCTGTAATTGATCTTTGCATGACTAAATGGGCCACTTATTTTTACAGCCAGAGCAGGTGCACCTGTGCGCTGGTGTTTTTACATCATCCGCTGATCAGTCATGAGGACCGGGAGCGTTTGTGGGGCAGCTCGACTCAGAACAAACCCTGCAGGTGCACATACACACAAACACACATACACTGCATCACACACAAAGGGATGCAGAAACAAACTGAGGCAGGTTTATGTTGTTCCGATGAAAATCATTTCATTTATTCTGTTTATTCTGCCATATTTCAGTTAACTTCAGTTACTTGGTCAACCATCTGTGTAGTATACCCACTGAGGTAACACCAGGACCCCTAACTCTGTCACATATATGATTTTTAATATACCAAGAGTACTGTGAGTAACTTAATTCAGAGGAGAGCTACACACTGCAGCCTACTGGTACCAGTAAGAAATAATACAGAAATAACTTATAATGACAATAATACTGGATCCTTGAAGTTTCAGTTAAGATAAAAGTTTGTGTATGCATTTACCCTTTTGTTACACTGTCAAATACATTTAAAAAGACAATGGATTTCTTTGTATTTCTGAGATACAAGAGAAGTTAACATGATATTTTCATCATCAATGAATCTACCTACATATTTTTTTTA